GACAGAGATGTGTCGCCCAAAATAGAGAGCGGCGTCATAAATTTTACAGGAGGCCGGTGCGAGTGGCGCTGTGTCACCTTCAAAGTGCATTCCCACATGGAACTCGCCCTCCACCCCGTGCCCTGCCCCTCACGGCCCTCCGGTTACTACCGCCATCCTCCATTTGGCGTCATTCTCTTTGAAGACGAGTAATGTGTTTAGCTTACAGCCTGTGAGGTGGGGGAGGGATGTAGAGGAGGGGGAGAGGAAAAACAGGAAAAACACAGGAAGGACAGATAGAGGGGAGGAAAACACAGCAGAGACGTCTGATTATGATATTTAAGAGGTCTGGAGGGACATGTTGTGGATGTGACATGCATCGCCGTGTCATGTCGTATGCACAGTTAGACGGTACAGGTCAGCGTTTATGGTCAGTCTGAGGAAATGTTCGGTGACTCTGGTGTGAAGCGCTTCATACAGTAATTAGGACTTCACAGAAGAGCCCATCTTCTCAACTGCAGCGTCTGTTGTTATTAAAAATCTCTCTTCAAGGACTGTCCAGATGAGGGCGGCTGTGGACGGGTCAAGTGCAGGTATGCAGGTTTGTTGTGCCGTAAGAGAGGAGGCGCTAAAGTGCACCGGCAACTGGTACAAGTGTGTCTGCTGTGCACAGAAACAACTGTGCTTTGGCACCTGTCTCCCTCAATTCGGGCGACAGATGACGTTTAAACGGCACGGACAAGCTTGGATGACAACGCCGAATCGCTCGACAAAATCTCAGCCTCCACCCTCGGCGCGCATGACATGACATGACACACGCGTGCATACGAAATATAACGTGACATTGTGTGCAGTCAGCGTGGAGGGAGCTCCGCGGCACCGGCGTGCATGTCAACGCAGGCAGTTGCAACCACATGCGCCTGTATCTCCCCCCCGAATCCCAACACCCGCCCCGAGGCCCAGAGGAACCCGAGACCAGAGAGCAGGACAAGCCAGAACAGAGCCAGAGAACAGCTCCTATCCTCGGGCTGTCTCTCAGCTAAAGTAGCACAGACACGCCCACCATATGGTAAGAGCAGCTAGTACACAACATCAACTGTATAAACATTACAATCCACGGCAGCAAGTCTTATTCTAGTTGCAGCCCTCGTGCAAGCTCCCAGAATATCATCTGCAACCCAGTGACACGAGGACAAAATGCATTTAAAAAAAAAACAAGCAGCAAACATGATTCTTCCAGTGTAAGCACAGATAATTGGGTGCAAAGAGTTAAAAAAGTGAAAGCAGCAGAGCTGCAGGGACAAGCCCTGCTGTTAGCCTGATGCCCTGCCAACTATCTGACAAAGGCCTCACCTGGGCCAAAACACAGCGAACCAGAACAGGCCATACCATAATCAGCACACCCATCACTGCCTCATCAAGCCAGACTCATTTAAAATAAACACATTAATAATCTCTCCTGTTGTTTTGTTAAACTTTCTCCTTGCAGCACTAAACATCAGCCATTTAAAGCCAGAGGCTCTGCTCCAGACGTGAACTTACCGGCAGCACAGCTGGGTAGTACAGCCCCATCATGGTCTGATCTACAGGAACAACTGCTGACCAGCTCTCCACTCTCCTTCTCCTCTCTCCTTCCCTCTCTGCTTCTCCTCCTCCTCCTGTTCCTCCTCTCCTGTGCTCTAGGACCATGAGCCGACGGTGGCTTCAGTCCACGTCTGTCTCACACATTCAAATTCTCCCTCGTTCACTCCCTCTTCCTCCTCCTTCCCTTTCGCCGGCGTCCCTTCTTCTACTTCTTCAGCACGCCAGCCTTGTCGGCCTGTCACTCTGGGCCTCTCTCCTCGGCGTCTCGGCGGCCCTGCTGCTCTGATCCCCCTCGGGCCTTTCCGTCTCTGTCCTCCTGCCAGCCTGAGTCTCTCCTCTGCTCCTCTCTCTCTCGTCTCTTTGCTCTGCGGCTGTCATTCACGCGCTCGCGTTACACGTCCTGCTGCTCCCCCTCGCTTCCTCTTGTTCCCGCCCCTCTTTTAAAACTTTCCCTCCCTTTCAGCTTCAATCCCTCCTATCCATCAAAGCATCATCCTTCCATGTAGCCATCTAACCCTGCGTCTGGATGGAGGCAGAAAGCTGCTGCTGTCTCCTCAAACCCCTGGAGAGAGACAAGAGAAGACAGGGAAGGGAAGAAGATGCTGTCTTCTATCCACGTACAGGCAGCCTGAGAGCACAGAACACGAATGCGACCCCCACTGCATTGCAGCTTTTTTTTGATGATTTATTTATTGCGTGGCAGCCTGTCAGCTCCAAAAAGCAGTGGTAGGTAGTCCAGCCGGTAGACAGCTAGGTAGCTAGCTGCGTGGGTAGGCTCCCAGATCATCATCTCTCTGCGGCAGCTGCCTTCATCACACAGATGGAAGTATCACAGAACTGAGGCAGCGCCAGCCCCGATCCCAGCGTCTAAAACCTCAACCTGAGCGCGAATCTGCACGCTGCATTGCGCCTTTTCCCTTCTGGCTCGGGCTCAGGTCCGTCACTTTCCAGCGCCGTATTGTTAGGAGGCGCTTAATTTGCAGAGATGAGAGTGCAGTTCCTTGCACTGCATTTTCATATGGGAGGGACTGAACTCTGCGGAAAAAAAGCCCTGATGCCAAGCATTCAGACATCTGCTGAGTTTGGCTAGAACTGGGTCCAGGGGGGATGAAGGGATGGAGGGAGGGAAAGATAAGTGATTGGAGGTGGTGGTGGGGGGGGGGGCGGGAAGGGGCAAATGAAAGGAGCTGGGCCGGAGTGAGGGGGCTGGGACAGCGGGGCAGTGGATGCGAGCGAGAGATAAAGGGATAGGGAGATAAATGGATAAAGGGCTGGGTGAAAAAAAGAGCGAGGGATGACAGGATTAGGGCTGTAAGTGAGGAGGATGAGAGGATGAATGGGGGATGATCTCGGGATTAAGTACACAGACTGAACACAGCGATAAACACATGCACTCGCACACAAACACATGCACATAATGTACACACAGATGTGATCATATTGCACCTCGGCTGGCACACAGACGCTTACATCCAGCCAATACTCATCAAGCTAATCCAAACAAAGGCCTCGTTCTTCAAAATAGCATCAACAGATAATCAATAACCCAGACGTTCACTGTTCCAGACTAATCATCCAGAGCATTCTCACCACAGCTGGTGTGAAGGTTACGACCTGCAATTATACTTCTGCTATTGTTAAATGTTAGAAAATGCTTCGGTGTGCAGGCTCTGGCTTGCCTCTGTGAGTCTTGTTAACCCTGATCATTTCTGTGACCCGAACAGCGGGATGCTGAGACGTCTGCACCCACGGGTCAGGATGTCCACGGACACACCCGTCCACACACATCCAGCGCCCCACAGGAGCCCTGTCACCATTTAACACACTCATATTGACACGGGCAGACCTACAGGCAGTTCAAACATGCATAAATAATATAAGACAGGAGCATTACCAAGACAAATGTACTGCAGCAATGAACAAGCCAATCTTTCTTAGCTAGGCTTGGCTAACTCCATTTGCATGATAACCAGCAGCTAGCGCGCTGGAGACTCCTAATATGTGTGCTCAAGGGCAGAATACATTAGCAGGGACGACTTTTAAATCATTTATAAAACAAATGCAGAAATCTGCGTCGGCTCTGAATTTAACAGATGACAAGAGCTCAGACGTGCCGCGGACCACGAGCGCTCTCTGCCCAGGTGTTTGCCTTACCCGCCCAGACGGGGGGAGAGTCAAGACTGAACTATGCATACAGTAAGGCTGCTCGAACCGAGCGACCGGCTATTGTATGATTTTCCACCCTGCGGGCAAGCCGGCTTAAATAACTTCCCTCCATTTCTGTTTCACCTCTGCTCCACTTCTCTGCCTCGTCCTCCTCTTCCCGTCTTGCCTTTAATCTCCAATTTTTATTTTATGTTGGGAGGTCAACACCAGAAATAACTCAATTCTGGCCACGAGGGAGGAGGAGGGGGGGATTGAAATCTAAATAAAATTAAACCTTAAAGCCAAATTCTCACAATGCCTCGCTCTCGGAGAGGAGAGCTCCCGAGGAAGGAGATAGTCGGAGCGGGAGAGTCAAGCAGAGTAGTCGAGGGCAAAAAGAAAAAAAAACACAGAATACATGAGAGAGGTCTAGGAGAATCTCCTGCGATGTGGGGAGGGAGGCTGGGGGCGAACAGGCTCACAGATCAACACTCCCCTCCTGTGGCACTGCCAGAGAGCTGCACATCCCAAACCGGAGACGCATGTTGGGGCGCGTGCACAAAAAAAAAAAACACAAAAAAAAAAGGTGCAGCCGAGCTCACCGAGGCCTTTTCTCGCAAACACACTCGAATTGGAGGGGCGGGGGGGTTCGCACACATCATCCACACGAGCGCTGAGCTGGTTTGAGCCGCTCAACGCGCTCTGCTGCTCGGAGGTAGATAAGAAAATAGTCAGCTACCCCGCCGCCACGCCGCACACATAAGGCACTCATTACCCAGCGCAATATGCATAGAGAGACACTTAGAATGAGGAAAGAAAAAAAAAAACAGAAACTGAGCGAGGCATAAAGAGAGAGAAAGTGTGAAAGGATGGGAACAGTCTGCCTGCAGAGCTTAGCTTGAAGAAGGTGACGGCATAATTTCTCTCTACTTTCTAAGGATCTTTGAAAGAGAAGCTCATTCGCTCCCGCTTCCTCTTCCATCGACTCGTCTGATCATCTCTGAGGCAGCAGGAGAGGAACCTTGTAAATAATAACACTGTAGTACAACACAGCCAGCGACATTACAATCACCTGACCGGGAAGAATCAAGTGTTCTGAAATCATGCAGATTATGTCACCAGACTATCACCATTCAGTTCTCATACATCTTCAACAGGCACATTAATTGGACTTCACAGAGTCTCGCCGCTCAAAGCAGGCCGACGCATCGAGCCAGTCGAGGATTCTGCGCTACATTATTTTTTAATTTATTGTTACAGAGATTTTTGCAAGCAAGTCTCTAATCTCTTACCTGACTGTGAGGTGGGTATCCATGGAAACCGGGGTTTAAAGGCTCATTGTTCTGCAAGAGACAACAGGAGGGATGAGAGCGGTGTGAGTGGCTGGGCTTTTTGAAAAATGAGTGCATGCAGCATGATGGGCCAGAAACTTGAAATCTCACATGAAACGCACTCGTGGACAAAACAAACCTGACTTGTTTGTAAACCGACATGAGAACAGGATGTTTTTTTTACTATCTTACAATATTATCACAGCCTGTTTCTATTTAAAAACAAACATGTTTGAAAACTTAAACCATCAGCTGGTTGCTGCTGTTTGAGGATACATAAAAACAACAATGCTGGGCGTTAATACAAGGACAGAAGAGCGAGGAGTGAGTCTGTGTGGACGCCATGACTGTTGAACCACCAGGCGTTCATATTCTAACCAATCAAAAGCCACGAGCAGAGGGTGAGCCCCCCCCCCTCCTCATTGACCCCGCTCAGAAACCACTGTTGTGGTTAATTGCTCTGTAATTACTTTTAATTAGATTATTTCTGTCTCTTTCACTCGCTTTTCTTTGCGACTATTATTTTCTCCTCCGTGTCGTTTTTGCCCCGGCAAGAGCAGCCATTGTTTGCGGCAGAACTAGGTGAGGAGGAGGAGGAGGAGGAGGAGGAGGAGGAGGTGAAAGAGAGGACAGAAAGACAAAGAGAGGAGGGGAAGAAAAGGGGAGGACTGGAACAATGGGGGAAAGTTAACCAAATGATGATATTTTGACAGCAGTGAGAGGGATGACTCCGGCACAGTTTAGCCTGCTGGCGTGCCTCTCAGAGAAAACATGACCGCCCAGCGAGACTCATGCCTCTGCTCTCGAGGAGGAGCCGAGGCAAGACGGGGCCGGGGGGAGGGGACGAGGCCGAGGATGAGGGGGAAGGTCTGGGAGGGAGGGTAAAAGAAAGATGTGTAAGTGTATGTTGGGGGATGGGGAGGGGGAGCTTGTCGTCTTCAGAGCTGCTGATGTGTTCATTACGTTTAATCAGCGATATCTTTCAGATCCGTGTGCTGCCCCTTTGGCCTCCTCCATTCAGCCAGCAGCTTGAGTGTGGGCCGTGTGCTGCCGCCGCCGCAATGAGGAGGGCAGATCTGACTTCTGAATAGTGTCAACAGAGTTAACCTCCCGGCCCTGACCTCGAGCTGCCTGCTGCGGGCATCACTTCCTGACAGCATTCATCCAGCCAATCAAGGGCAAGTGTGTGAGAGAAGGCCTCGGTGCAACCAGGTCTCCACTAGGGCTGGTCCCAATAGCAGTTTCTGTTCTCCGGATATTCGGCCCAATTAATGACGAGTATCCCGAGTAGTTGGGAGGTGGTGGCGGGTGAATATTCGTGTTGAGCATTCGGTCTGATGGGGCAGTACTGAGCAGGCGTTTCCGCCACCAGTGGTCACAGTGTTATATCTGCTGCCAGTGTCAGTGGCGGCGGTGGGGAACAGGGGGATATTCGAAGATCAAAATTGGCACCCAGATTCCAGCACAGCGAACGAATAATCGGCTGTTCGGCTATTTGGGTCCAGCCCTAGTCTCCACAAAACTACCGGTACCGCCGCCTAAGATGGTTCAGACATGTCCACCTTAGTACTCACTTCATCAACAAAATCAGGAACTTGGATGTCGCCAGAAAACGAAAGACTCAGGAAAACATGGGAGGAGCTGGTGTCAGGGGACCTAGCGGATTGGGGGCTAACCCCTGATGATGCCCTCGATAAGGATAAATGGTGAACTGTGACGTAACCGTGCATCGTCTGACACGCTGTAAGTGTCCCAACAGACGTTAACAGGATAAGTAAGTATGTATACGACGACACTGCAGTCTCAGGTCTTGAGTGAAACTGCCGCATTACGTTTGTTTGTAATAGATCACAAATATGTTGCTAATCGACGAGTCTTGTGTAATAGATGGGGTTGGACTGGTCACCCTGGTAACCCAGAAAATGGAGGACGAGCTTCAAGCGTGTAGTGAAAGGTTTGTATTTTAACCATTGTATTTTAATGCATGTCAGTAAATGTACTGTCCAATAGCTGCAGTACCTGGTTGTTCCACCAGGTGGAGCATCTTATAGTTTTATCGCGTAGTGACCCAATGACGCATTTACTCAGACTATGGGTGGTTCCATGTTGGCAGGCAGACAGCATTGTGGGGGATTAGCTTGCAACAGGGAACCGTAATGGAAACGTCAACTGCAGACAATCGATTACGTCAAGCGCTCACTGTTTCAAGCCAAGCTTTGGCCTGTTGAGACGACATTTTTAATTGCAGTCGGCTGGTTTATTCAAGCCACTTGTGACGGCAAAATCATGTGTTTATAATTGAAAAAACTGACAATACATTGACAAATGTACAATATTCTCATTATTAATTGATAACGCTGCTGAAGAAAGTTGTTTAAAATGTGCATCCTGTTGTAATGGGTGAAAGCATCCACCAATATGTTGTAGTTTGGTGTCTAAACGTAAACCCTGGACGCCTTTCCTATGAAATCACAGGTGACATGTTTTTTTGTTTGTTTGTTCTTTTAAATCAAAAAAATTTCCCGTAAATGCAATTGACAATTTAGCTGTCTCAGTTTGTCATTTTATGGAGACAGACTGACACACACTTCACATAAACAGCTATTACTGCAGGACGGCTAGCTCACGCAGCCCGACCGGAGACATGCAGGTTACACAGATGTGAAGATGATGCGTGGACGGATGAAGGAGCGGGTGTCTAGACAGAGTGGGCTACAGGAAAGCCAAGGGGGAACGGGAGTGAATGCTAAAAAACACGGGCCAGATGTAAAGAATAGCAATGAGAGAGCGTTTTCCGTTTGATGCATGAGCGAGCTCGGACTCTGGATGTGTGTCCAGACTCCGGGCCCGTCCTCCTTTCCCCCCCCCCTGTCTCAAACAGCCCTTTCTTTGTCTGCTCTCGCCACTTCCTGTTTCATCTGGAACCAATTTCCCCCTCGTGCCTCGTCCCCAGGGGGAACACTCTCCTTGGTGCGCCGCATTTGCAGGGGTTGGTGGTGGTGGTGGTGGAGGGGGGAATGGACAGACTTATATTGAGCAACATACTGAGTGTGTAGAAAGCGGCTGGTGCTCAATACAGCACAGATGGAAATGCAGGATGGGAGGGGAGTGGAGGGGGGCCGACAGAAAAACCTCAAGTCTACAAAGCCCTGGGCAATGTCAACGGGAATGAGAGGACTCTTCCTATTTTAAATAAAAAGAGATGCATGTTGGGAGTTACCGACATCGCAGTGCATTTCAAACGGGACCGAGCTGACGTTGTGGTTTCGTCGCAGAAGCTGCATTTGCGCTGTACTGCTTCGGTGGTGGGGACAAAAAAAAAAATACATACAATTACAAGTGATTGATGTTTGAGAATTTGTGTTTTTGTCGCACTAACAGTCAAAAGTAAGGGTGTAGCTGGAAGCGAGGAGGAAAACTGGAATGCCAGCGAAACCAAAATTATCCCTGACCATCAAATTGTAGAGTCACTGTTGGTTCTAGAGCAGAGTGGAAAGAAAGAAAGAAAGAAAGAGAGAAAGAAGAAACAGGAGGAGGAGTTTATGTAGGAGAACAGAAGGAGGGAGAGAGGGGAGAGTTTAGCAACATCTGGAATCAATCTGTCTGCAAGAGAGGAGGGAGGGAGGAAGGGATTGAGCGGGATAGCTGGATGGATGGATGGATGGGGGAGGACGGACGGAGGAGAAAAGAAAAAGAGAGAACAAGATGAAAATAAGAGCAGAGACAGACACTCACAGGAGGAGGAGGAGGAGGAGGAATGTGGGTAATAAGACGGCCGAAGCCAAGAAAAGGGAGAGAAATTTAAAGCAGTAAAACATTCGCAAAACGGAGACAATGAGTCATAAGCGAGGAATGCCATGTGATTTATATTTTCTTAACGGGTGGGGGAAGGGACCGGGGGGCTGAACTTGATACCTAGCTGCTCCAGACAAAAGCAAGACACTCTTTCTGTTTGGCTTTTACCACACAGGCTCTCACATTTGTGCCACTTAAAAATAAATAAATGCAAAAAAATTAACACGCTAAGCTTTGGTGCTGCTGCAAGTTTCCATCCATACAGTTTGCGAGCGAGCGAGGAGGCTTTGAAGGCGCCGGCTGGCTGACCGTGAGGGCTTCAGACTGCATTGGCAGGGATAAAGCAGCAGCAACAGAAAACCAGCCGCACACATAAACACTCTCTCTGAGACTCGGCGGAGGGCGAAGCTAAAAGGGCGTCTCTCCTGTTTATTTTCCTTCTCCTTCTACCTCCAACTTTTTAAGGAAAAGAAGTTTGTCGGAGCAAATGGGTAAGGAGCAGGACGAAGGAGGGGGAAAAAAAAGGAGCAGTGGTGGAGGAAGGCAAAATGACATGAGGTCAACAGATGGTGAGAGGGGAGGGAGGCGGAGGCAGGGAGGAGGGGAGCGGGGTAATTAAACGGGCTGCTGCAGGCATCCAGTGGTCCCGAACAGAACAGCCCGAGGTGGTGCCAATGTCTGGCTTTATGGTGCTCATACCACCAAATGTAAGAAGAAAAAATAAATACCCCCACCTGCTACCACCAACACAACCATAGTGGAGATCCAGTAGCGTCGAATTAACTCGCGAACATTTGAAAAAACCGCCTCAGTTGAGATGAAGGGGAAATATCGTCAGCTCCACCGCACGACCACATCACAGATCACCACCCAATGCACAGATTTCAATCATTCCTTCAGCAACGTGTGTCTCAATATCAGCAGCAACCCCCCAACGCCACAGAGTCAACAAATCACAAGCGAGGGGGGCGAGAGATAAATGAGGCAATCGGCGAGAGGATCAAACAGCGACGCCGGGTACTGCAGGAACTGAAAGGAGAGGGAATTAAGAGAACAGGCCACGGGGAAGGGAGCCGAGGACAGAGAGGTATATCAAAGCCAGACGATGGGAGTTAAAAATGATAAACGCTTCGGAGGCAGTCAATTTGGGAACACATAAGGACAGACAAAGACAAGCGAGGAGAGGGAGGGTAGAAATACGAGACGAGTTTCCCCCT